ATCAGCGACGAGAATCTAAAGATAGAATAAGGAGGTGAATCCACAACCAAAATTTTCTTGGTTGAAAATGCGGCATTATAAAATACTAAAAATAAAACGGAAAACACCATGAATTTTGTTGGACCGCTATTTAAAAACACTTTATTAGACATCGCAAATCTCATTAATTCCTTGTGCCTGCGGCACACCTGTAATGTTCTAAAACCACCGACTTGAAATAAATTTTACTCCGTGGTATTTTATCTCAGACTTAGGAATTTCTCTTACGGTGATATCCTAAAAATAATCGAGTGGCAACATTGCGATGAAGAGGAGTAAGAGTTGCAGGGACAGCTCATATTGGTGTAAATTGCAAGAATACAAATCAAAATAAAATGTAATCGGGCATTTTGCCACACATTTTATGTCCGCGGATTTACGTGGTATTTTGAGGTCATGGTGCAGGTAAACCATTACATATTCGTTGAAAAAGTCAGCTCTTTTGAGTGGCATAATATCGACCACTGACTCAGGAGCCGTAACGCGGGGATTGTTGCGAGTCGATGCACATGTATTTTTCATATACTAATATACTTTATATGTATTTTCATTGTACTAAATTAAATATACTTCTTGGGATTTTATACCAGATCTTTCTAACGACGAAAACGAATTTGCATGAGCGCACCATATATCAAATCTAAATATAATCGGGCAATCACACATTATTATGTCCGCAGATTGAAGTGGTATTTCAGATCGGTAATGAGTTGATTTTGTCGTGAGTCGCCGTAACCGCGAGTTACCTGAACACAAACAAATTAAAATAGAGAGACATTTTGAATTCGTATAGTTGTCATAGATTGAATATTACGAGACATAATGAGAGCGAGTAAGTGACCTTACATCGAGAGAATCTCACAAAAAAAGCCTTTCCCATATTAATTATTATACATTTTTATTACTGTGAACTGATTTTAGGACACAGCGTCCAGTGAAAAAAAGTCCATTGACTTGCAGTTTTTGAGAATGACCCAACGCTCTAATTGCTGATTACATAATGGCTTGTTAATTAGATTCATTGTTCTCAAAGCGCTTCATACGTAGCACCAGGGCTCTGTGAGATAAATGTAAAGGCTCCGTGAGCTATTCGTTTACTTATTAAAATGCTGACTTGATTATTTTGTAACTGTCCAAAGAAGTAATAACGGCATTAATAAAATTTGACAATGACTCCAATTGGACCGCAATTTAAATATATTTCAAATACAAATAAATACATCCGGGTCGTAAATAAAAAATGTTAATTTACTCGGGAACATTAATCGCTAAGTAACAATGTGTTTTTTGTTTTTATTTTTTAAATTAATTGTGGGGATCTGTAAATAATAATCAACCGTTTTCCCATTTGCAACATTGCATCCATCAAATTATCATATAACGATTCTGGTTAAAACTTTGTTTCAGAAATTGACAGCAAGACATCGCCTCTCGTTATGACTGAGTGTTCTGCTTCATATGATAGAATTTCAATTGATTTAGACGCGAAAAACATCAAAGATTCGTTGGATATGATAGCAATGAATCACTGGCTAAGCAGGACAATGCACGTGACCCTATGTGAATTGTACTGCATTGCTATTAGAGAGTAAGTCTTGTTTTTATTGCACGTTCGCATCCGCAATCACAAAGAATAATATATGATTGTTGGTTGCAGATTCATTCTCTTTTTGTTCAAGAAATGAATTTTGGACCGTTACAAAATAATCCGTCCGCATTCCACAGCTTTAAATAGGAATATAAAACTTTACTGTCTTGCTGTTTTAAGGCCGGTGTGGTGGAGAATATATATATCCTTATCGAATTTATAATTGAGCTAGATTGATAGAAAATTTCTACTTTGTACAAAATTTAATATGTGATAAATTTGGCACAAAAATGTTTTCTCATGATTCGCATTGTGAGTTTTTTTACCCAAATTTGTATAAAAAAAAAAAATAGCAGAGCGATTGCATTTCAAATTCAGATAGGGCTTTACAAGAGCACAATGCTGAAACAGCTTCAATTAAAGTAACTAATTTGCTAAGAAATTTTATCATCTGCTGTAAGAGGCATCATCAGTACCATGATACAGTCAACGTTTATACAAGGTTGAAAGAAGAGGGCGAACTTTTCGATTTTTTTGGTCGTAATTGAAAATTCTTATTGAAAGCTCATTTTCGTGCAAATCGACTAGCTTTGTAGGAAGAAAGATTTTTGTATAGTGAAACTTTCAATGGTTCACAATTTCAAAAACGATGTCATTCTATACATTCTCCAGAAGCTGTTCATATGCGCCGGTGCATTTTTTTGATACCATCATTCAAAGAAATAACAAAGAGAAAACTTTCACCAACTTTTATCTTATTTCATAGTATTTCCCCGATCATTCACTCAAAGTTTATATCTATCTCAATCCTGAACATTCTATCAAAATCACATGTAATCACCATTTTTCGAATCAGTGGATTGACGAATCAACCAATGGTCAACCATGTCGACCAATAGTCAGCGTAAATGAAGTTGCTCCTATTCACAGCCAATTGAAAATGAACCGATAAAAAATTTATCTCAACAAAAACACGTACTAGTACACGATTCCATAGGACTATGCTCTAGTAAAATCTTGACAAAGCTGGTTGTGTGTTGAAAGAGGTTATACTCAGTTGCTTTCATAAGATCTTGCCTTCATTTTGTTCAAGACTCGTTGCAAACCAATTAAAATTATTTTTCAGTAGTGCAAGAAATACATACATGTATTATATATATATTAAACGATCTTAAACGCTTCTTTGGTTGATTTTACTTTTTTAATTTATTGTCTTTTTTTGCATATTGTATATAATACGGTTTTCCGCCGTATAATTTCTTGTGATTTTTGCTTTCAAACGTGCTTTACTCAGATTTCAACTTGTTGAAACGGAATGCTTTCAAATATTAGATTATTGTGAATAAAAAAGCGCATTTTTAGTATTTTATTAAGAGGAAGCGAACAGCTGACATATTTCATATTAGTATTGACTTATGACAGCTGAATTAAAGGACAAAGTTGAAACAAATAAAAATTCTCACATTAATTCTGAAGACTAAGTCCAAAAAGGGGACAAGTGGATTTGTTCGCCGTTTGAAAATTCAAAAAATTATATACGAAAAAGTGAGAGACTCCCCGCTGTTAGCAGGTGGTGTGTGGCGTTATCCCTTGGCGTCTCTCTCTCTCACTTCACTCTTGATTCAAAATTGATACACCAGCCAGCAACGTAGAAATAATTGTGATAGAAGGTACTAGTAGGTCATTCCCGTGCACGAACTGGACTGGTGATTGAGTAAGTCAAGTTTGGCATTATGATTCAGACATCTTCCATAAATATGCTAATACGATCACAATAACAACTTTTCAATTACGTTTTATCACTCGCTAATTATGTGTATAGCATTGTTAACCTTTTGTCAATATACACAAATATATCACTGGTTAACTTAACGCTGATTTATAATAATGGGACAATGAACCACGTTAGTTGCCCAATAGTGCTTATTTGGTTCGACATATAAGATGATGAATGGGCTAATCATCCGGGAAAGGAAGATGGCATACAAGGAATCATGAATCTCATCCGGGTATCGGTCCATAGAATTCAAGAATATTCACTGACATTTGGCTATTAGTAAGCATTTACAGTGCCAAATCAGAGGCTCTCGCAAAACGCATTTTCCTGACATTTTTCAAGAAACTAAGATTTTTGATATTTCGTTAATATGCTATGGCACTCGTTACCTTACACTGGCAAAATATTTTAATACCAAAGTTCGTATGTTTAAAAGGAACTTCACTTGTTGTAAAGCAAAAGGTTCAGATAAGATAGAACGTTTCATGACATTTGAGAATGGTAATCACGAATGGCGAACGTATTGCCAACGCAAAACACTCGCTGTTGTAGATTTTTAACCGGTGTTGTGACAGGTTTCGACTTGTTTTTAGCCAACAGACTGTAAAAACTCTCCTAAACTTGACTAACCTCGTTTGTGATGCGTTTTCCTTTTTGACAATTGCTAACATTTCAAGAGGTCCTATAGGTCGTGGTTCAGTACAATAAAGCCTCATTCAATTAGCCCGCTTCGAAGCGATAATGACTCAGTTTCATTAAACTGGGATTAAAGCAACTTTAATCTTTTTTAACCATGAGTTTTTGTACACTATATAAACTGCGCTCTGCTTTTTGGCATAAGTTAACCTTTTTATTATTAGATTTGTTTCGCCATCATGTAAGTACTAAACCCCTAATTTGGAACTCTAAGACCCAATATAAGCTATCATCAGCACGTGTTTATCCAATTAAATGATGTTATGAAACTTAATACTTTGTAATTTTAGTATCGATTAACATCTATAAAAAGAATTTGATGATCTTACACCTACGGGTCGTATTTTTAGCCCGTATCTTCAAGCCATGCATAAGAAGCAAACAAAGCAATTACATTACCACTTATCTAGTTTGTTCTAACATTTTGTAGGCCCTGGTCCATTACATCACTGATAATTAACATCGTATAAAGCAATTTGTTGATAAGATTTCGATTTATGTATTAATATTCTTATCACATGTTCATGTTGACCCAGGTATAATCAGAACAGCGGGAACAGTTTGATTTTTTCCATGATTTACCAAATTTGTTTTTACTTTCACATCTCTGCACCAAAAATAAACTTTGCATAAAGTATTTAGAAGAAGCGAGAATATAATTCTTGTGATTTTTTTTTCCACATCCAAGGTTCATATTTCCAACAAGTATAATAACAACATAAGATACAGAATTGATGTTGAACCTCGCTTAACGCATCCTTATCTTCATACCTCCGGGCCATAAAACGCCGATCATAAAAAGGGTCTACTTTAATGATAATTATAGGAGATCGAATAATAATAATACTGATAAGGCACGCTAAATAGCCCGAGGGATCGATTACATCAAAATGTTATAAATATAGAACATAGCACAACAAGGCTACAGTGAGACTGACCTAACTGAAGAGACCAATTTAGTGCTGAATCAAGGGAAATATACCACATGGACACAAAGATGTTGTCGATTCTAGTGATTTGTGCATTCATAGCAGTGAATAATGCACGATTAATACCATGTAAGTTTTATTATGTTGCCTTGGCTGCAATTTCTTTACGTATTTTAAATATCGATTGTATAGACGCACTATAAACCTAATGCATAGTCTAAAAAACCAAAGCGGTTTTACCATGTAACAGCTGTATTTGGCAATCGAAACAATCTTTAAAGGAAAATTCGTATTGCATGATTTTTGATTCGGCAAGATCCTAATGATTTCAGATATGAGTTTTCTTTTTGATAAACTGAATAATTTTAGAAGTTTTCAAAATTTAAATTGAATGCACTTTCAGCAAAAATAATACTCAACAACAGAGTGTTTAGGAAAGTGGTGTTATATTTGTGCTTTTACTTATTTTTAAAATGCCTTAAACATTTTCGCTTTGAAAAATGGTAGTATCTCCTGTGGCTGCTAGTACAGAGCTTTGCTTCATATGAAGATATGAAAATATACGCAATCACCAATATATATGGAAATACTGAGTTTGTACAACATGCAATATTTCCAATTAAGCAAAGCCTAAGAAGTTTTCACAGCTGAATTAACTTACATCTTGATTATCTTGATTAACTTACCACAAAACAATACCATATTGTGCCAAGCTAAGAGGGATATTCAAATACTGAATTACCTGTTTTGTGTAACGCAATCTTTCCGCTTAGGCCAAGCCTACAAACTTTTTACATCTTCATAGAAAAGGTACCATTGAATACCTTTTCACAAAACAGTGCCCTTTTTCACGTCAAGTAGGATTAACATAAAACTCTTTTTTCAGCAAATATTCAAATACTGAATTACCTGGAGGGAATGAAAGTTCCATACTTTGAAGCAGTTGCGTTGCACAGACCCATGATGATGGACTATTCATTCAATAAGTAAGTACATGCGTTTGTATTTTATACAAGTCTATTCCAAGGAAGGTCAGTTTCCCGACATACAGAGGAGTGATTATGATTAATCTTAGTAGAGCTACAAGTAACCACTTGTATATATAAAATTTGTATTACTAGGGACAAGTCAGCAGATACAAGATAATACGCTTTCGAGAATATATTCCAGAAAGCGGTGCATCTTTTATAATTGTATATGAAAATTGATCAAAGCAGCGTCACGCTTACCCTTTCAGTAATAAGGGAAACCTACCTTTTAAAAGCATATTCATCAAGTATCTGGTAAAATATCAGGAGGTTAGGAGATGCTATTTTTTAAATACCGTACACATTGAACAGCGTCGATCATAACAGACTTGAATTCAACTCTAAATTTCAGAGATAGCAATTAATATTGGGGGAACTTCACATAATAAAAGTTTTTTTTAGTGAACTCCTGGCGTAAAAATTCCTATGTCTAAACTTTGCAGTGACAGTATACGGTTTAGAACTCGTAATCCACAAGGAACGACAAGTTCAGTCGATATGAGCTTTAACGTTTGCTAAAAACAGCACATTGAAAATTGTTCATTGTCCTCTGTCGCCATCTCGCGTTTTAAATAATATCTCGTTAAAGTTCGACGAGGTCATTCTTATTCAAATTTAGGTTTCTCCCAATCTTTGCCAAATAAAAATCATGGATGAGCTACTGATGACTATTTACTCAATAAATTAATCATTCTTTTGGTATTTTCAATGACTACCAAGTACATGTTTCTCTAATTTAGTTCATATTGAGGTATTCATTTTTTTGGTCATTTTTTTCTTACCATTTCCAACACTTCAAGTTTCTACGTTTAGAAAATGATTTTCCGTCTTTTTTTAAAACGGGGATAACTCTAGTCGAAAGTTATAGTTCGTGTTAGCTGTTAAGCTTTGTGTTGTTCATCAATCTTGTTATTTTCATTTCAGCACAGTGCTTAAGAAATTATCACGAACCGATCACTCAGGAGATGTAGTGCTGCGAGAAGACGCCATGGATGTGCACCTATACATGTCCGAGGGCTTTATCACTGGAGACATGAAAGCACAATTCTCTCACACGTAAGTATAGAATATGGTTGTAGTTGGAGTCAAATTAAAATTTACTGGATTCAATAAACTTGTTATAAAATGGAAGGTGCTGCTACAAGACTAAGAGCAATTGAATGTACAAAAAGTAATAAGCAAATGTCAATCACATCATTTGCGATCACGATCACCATTGCTGTCGGGGTAGCGGTAAAAAACTAAAAATTTAAACATAGTTCACAAAACTAAATTTTTACAAGCTATGTGAATGTATGACTTATAGGCTTGCACGTAATTTACGGATTTACGGAATTACGTAATTATTTGGAGTTACGGAAGGGAAGTTACGAATTACGTAAAGTCGTAATTATTGCATTGAAACGAGCTTTCTTCAAAGCAGTCAATTTCGTCGATTGCGAAAAATGAAAGCTCAACAAGTAGAAGAAGTTAGAGTTCCGGTATTCGCAGCCGTTTTTCTCTCTCTTGTTACGTAGGTGAAGGAAGGCATGACGTGTTGCCATTTACTAACCTATTATCAACTTATCTGGCGTGGCCAATGTAAATTATTAACGTAGTTAATGGGGGAAGAACTGAGTAGGGCCGTTTGACGCCAACACACCTGGTTTTAACTTCTCCCGCAACTTAACCATAGATAAGGGATAGAATAACGTTGAGACCGATTGACGCCAACACACCTGGTTTCAATTTCTCTCGCATCTTATCTAGCATGGCCATGGCCAATGTACATAATAACCGTAGATAGGGGGAAGAATTGTGTTGAGACCGATGGACGCTAACACGCCCGGTTTCAACTTCTTCGGGTGAAATGACTAATGAACGCAGGAGATCAATCTATCAAGCATGGTCTATTAAACATTTGTATCCATTTTACTTTTATTTGTTATTTACTTGTTCCAGTTTTCCGTTACTTATGGTATATATGTTCCGTTTCTATTTTATAGTCACGCGTTTGAATAGTGGGAATTCCCCACCAAGTGTGGATTAGCATTGCCTAACCATTCTTTATTGTTAATATCAACACTTGATATATGAACATGGAATATCATATTGTTTTTAGCTGTTTCATTTCAGACTTGGGGTATAAACAGGAAAATATCCATAACCTTTCAACACGACGATCTTGTGAAATTTAACGAAGAGCTTTCGCGACGAATTGGAACCAAATAAGCGAAAAGAGCGATTGATCACTCGCACCAATACCTCGCCGTGATAATTAATGTCACGCTTATCAAATAGCAATATGACGACAAAAGAGAGATTGCGTAATGAACCAAAACGACGGATTCCTCGCGGACCGTTGAAAATTTAACTGCTATCATATATAATCAATTATGAGCCTGTGTGTTTATTCTGTGCGAGATCCATTTTCTATTACAAAATCTTGATGTTCTGTTAACGGTTTTATCGTTATATATCAGTCCGGACTTGGCCTTGCTCATGATGTTTTTCACAATTCCTCTCAATATTTCGGCCATATATGATTAACTGTCTTACCAAATGCGGCAACTTATTTTGACTTATCGTCGACTTGTATACCACGGCACTCGACCAAACTTTTGTCAATCTTGGCCGATAGGATCGCCGACTTGAGTTAGCAAATAAATGTTGTAAGTGTAAAATAAATGTCACAAAATGCATTGTTTTGCGATATACCTTTGTATTTTCGGAGAAGGCATGTCATATAAGTTCTGTATTTAAATTATACGCAAATAAATAATATTTGATCTAAATTTGTCGCAAATAATGTTATAAACATTCAGTCCGAGAAATGATTGAATGTAAAATGAAGCATAGTAATCGGAATATCGTCAATAAGTCGACATCAATAATTATTATTATAAAAATGCTAACAAGGCAGTAATGTCGGATAATGCAGAAAACGCTGCAAAAACAAGTCTTCGTCGCGAGGAAATCGCAAGTATAATCAAATGAGAGAATACGCTCGTCGTTGGTTAATAAATTAGAAACCCGTAATTTTTATTCAGTACTAAGGTGGTTTTAAAAAACTATCGTTTCCATAAATATCCGTATACCAGTGTCGGTAATAATAAAACAAATTGATCGCATAAAAATGGGACGGTTAATTTGCGAAGGTGATAAAGAAAAACCAAAGCTAACACAAAAGATAAAAATCAGAATAAAATTAATTTGAATTCACTCCTTGATAGTTGTCTTTATCATCTGCCGCCGGCGTGTAGTACTGCCAAAAATAGGAAAACCCAATTTCAATGTCCCATTCGGAAAAAAAGTGGATTCAATGGGTTGTTACGATAGGTTTAAATGCGTGGAAAAATATCGCAATTACGGGGTCATTACGTAATTGATTTTGCCGTAATTACGGAATTGATTTTTGTCAATTACGTGCAAGCCTAATTATTGACTTATATGAAGATTAAATGTTTATATTTAAACTTGGAGGTTTCTTGAAAATCGATACGATTTAATATTAAATTATAAATAAAGAATTTTTCAATTGCTGGTTTGAACTGAAAAATCATTCTCGTGATGAAAATTTGTATTGTTGTTATTTAAGATTACAGCATTTGCGTAAGTTATTTATAAAGTTTATAATTACTTTAGTTATTCTCTACTTCGTCATAAATAAGTTTTAACCATATTTTTTCTCGCCAGGGACGATGCAGAGTTCGGGTATGGTATGGAAGGGAATTTCACGCTCCATGGATATAATTCTACCCTGAACTTGACCGTTCTTCTGCCAAGTATGTGTCAATGCTTTGTACAAGTGCTTGATGGTTTTGATATACAACCACGCATGGGCATTTTCGTAACACACGTCTCGCTGAATAGCTTGACAAAATTTGTTACTAACAACGTGTTCCAGTGAGCGGCTGGTATATATTCTATGCATGGGCCTATATGTAATGCACGTCTTGCTGAGTAACTTGTTACAAAAATCGTTACTAGCAGTGTGCGTACATATGTTTGAGTGGGCGACTGGCGCAGGGTGCTTGCTGTAATGCTGTTGAAATTAAAAGCCTAACTTTTCCAAAAGTGGTTTCTGTAATCGCTGGTCTGTTACATGTTTATACCTTATCCACATCGAAAGTACATTTTTTGAAAGAAAATCAACTATAATTATTAAATTGCATAATTTGCTGTCTATAACATATTTATTTTTCACTTTTGTTCCTTGGCGTTTTATTATTAAACGTGGCGCATAAAATAACTGATAATAACTCACTGAAAAAAAAAAGATATTTTCCACAAGAGCAAGGAGTCACAAGTGTCTTTGGAAGGGCCACGGAAGTTTGAAAACCACTTTCGTCGAAAATTATAAGCAGTACATAACATTTATATCGAATTCCTAATGCAAATAATTCTCTTATTTAAACAGAATTCGGTGGCGGTGACAAATCTCCCATCGTCATGACTCATTGCAAAGCACAATACCATCAACTGAGTATGGATTTGGACACTAAGAACATCAGAGACCCTCTGGACAAGATTGCAATGGACCATTGGCTGAGCAAAGCACTGCACGAAACATTAGCAGACTTGTACTGTATTGCGCTAAGGGGGTAAGTAGATAGTATTTGAAGTACTTATAGGGCAGTCCAACTACGCAATCCAATTATATAATTGAGTTTGTACATTTGGAAGAGTCCTAGGTACACAAATGGTTCCCATTCGACCATCCTCACTTTTTAATACAGTATCACGCATCTTTTATTTCATTGTTCGATTGGGACCTCAAATTTTCCACAATTTCGCACAATATATTCTAATTATAGCGCATCTGCTGATTATAAGTTCATTTAAATAAAATTTGCTGAGCGATATGGCAATTTAGTAATTGCCGCAAAACATTTATAATTATAGTCGATGAAACAAAAGACTGTCGCAGTATCGCATTAATTTTTCCAATTACGCGATTTAACTCTATTCATTTTCATTCAGGGAGATTGCAAAAGGAACCGATTCCCTTATAGTTCAAGGATTGAAGGGACAATTATTTCTCGCAGCATTTACCCAGCAGTAAAATTCCTCGGAGCCCAGTAACTTTTAAGACTCCACTTTTACTCTACATCGGGAATTTATGTCTGTTTGTTTTTCAGTTTTTACATTATTCTACTAACAGCAATAAATGCTCATTTGTCTTGAGTTTCACGTGAACTTAGTTTTCGAGGGAAGATTTTGTAGCAAAGTTCTAAGAGAAAAAGAATTATTGACAGTAATACTATAAGAGACTATACAAAAATATAGTAAACTGAATACAGCGAGATTACTGACAGCCCTGAAGCACCCCGTGTCTAAAATCTAAATGGTAATGATAGAAGCTAATACACAGAAAATTTCCCGCAGCGCAGTTTTTTGCAGTGGGTCTACTTCTGACTGATAAGAGTTATTTCTTGAAGCACCTCAAGTTTAAATGATAATGATAGCAGCTAATACGTACATAAGAAATTTCCCGCAACGCATAATTTTGCAGGAACTGTTATCTGATTGATGAAAGTTATTTCAACTGATTAGGTCCAACAGCGATATTTAAGACAGTCTTGAAGCATCTCAAGTCTAAATGATAATAATAGCAGCTAATACACATAGAATTCCCCAAAACGTATCATTTTGCTGGAAATGGATTCCAATTGATACCAGTTATTTTACTGAGTAGGTCAAAGTATTGGCAAGTACGGGGCCCTGCTATGAACCCAACCAATACGCTACCCATGTAATATGATCATGTTCAGGCAATAAAGGCTTTACTGGTCAAACAGGAATCATGATCATTTTAAAGTTATTTCACTTGTTACTAAAACCAGAAACATACCACATATTTTCTAAAAATATAACTGCAAAGATATTAATTAATATCAATCGTCAGTCATAGATGAAATTAAAATTACAGACAAAATCCTGCAGAAATGAATTGCGAATTTCATTAGGAAATTACGCTGATACTCGAAAAGTACATATAAAAAAGGGACGCTCAAAAAGTGTGTGTACCAATATGAAGAACAATAATTGGTGCTCCCGAAGTATGCGAATCATAATGGCGGACATCGGAACGTAACATGGATAACAGGTTAAGGTTAGGCCATAATTTTTTTTTCCAATTTTCCTTATTTTAGTCCTATTATCAGTTCGAAGACTAGCCAAGAGTCTCCCGTAGTATTTATACTTAAAATTATTGACTAACCCTAACCTAGTACACATATTACATTCCGATGTCCACCATCTTGGTTCGTATACTTCGGGAGCCCCCACTAATTTTGTGCGCCTTCTTCACATGGAGTTGGAAACTGTAAATGGAGTGGGACCTATGGGCGGGGGTATATCCAGTTGGCTAACACAGACTGTCCCCGAACTCGTAATAGAACTAAAATAAAGAAAAGTGGAATAAAATTATGGCCTAACCCTAACCTGGTACACAGACTACGGAAGTACCAAAAAAGTAAATAGATTACGCCCAAAAATTATTAGCAATTTTTAGTTTCCCAACCAGTCCGAACAAAACACAAGCAAGCTAAATCATTAGAGATTCTGAAGAGCCCAAAGATGATATAGCGTAATTATTTAAGCAGTTTTAATATTCTTTTGTGGCATATGGCTGCTGTCTCAAAAGCTAACCTAGAAACCTCGAATGGCGCGGTTATTTTTTCAATTCCATGAGTAATTTAGAATATTTTGGATTGAAAAAATGTGTAAAAACCTGTACCTGCCGGTAAACGACTCAGTCGTGTTGGCCCCGCTTATTACACATCACGTGTTCAATCGTATGCCCCCAACTTACCCAGGGTGAAATAAGTTGGGTGGGCAATACCGAGTCGGGATGACTGCTAATATTAATAAATGCTCGTATGAAGTGTGAAGAAGCGTTATATGGAAATAGCTTCAATTCAAAAATGGTGTTTTTCGATGATAGTTAAAGCTGCGGGTTTAAACTGAACACGATATGCCGTCAGATTTAAATCTGTACATGCGGGACTTAAAATTTCGTGAATCTACAATCACTGAAAACCAAATAATGTTTACTGAAGTGAAATCTAATTTCAGGACGTGTCGAACCAATCATATACACGTAGGATTCATTCAGAAGTATTGTTTCCGGTACTTAAAATGTCGAAGCGTTCACGTAATACACACGAAACACTCTGTACACTGTGTTTGCTTGGAACTTTCGCGTGTCGTTGGAGTATAAGTATATATGATTATTGAGTTGCAGTTTGGTGAGAGAATAAACTCTCTTTTACTGTCACGTTTTTGTCTTTCTTAAAACCTTGTAAAAATATGACTTTTGACTAAAAATTTCGATATATTTCAATATGAGACTGCTTTCTTATTTTATTACTTACCTTTTTGATGATCATGATAAATAAGATACTTTAATAAGCTACTATGATTTACCAATATACCTATTACCAAGTAAAACTATTATTTCCAGTCTTAGGTGAGTTTGATGTCATCATATTATGATAAATCGAGGAAACAGTTACTAAGAGTGGGAGCAGTTAAACTGCATGCCTTGCTTGTCAGTGATATTATCCTAAATACCTAATGATTTATGTGGTTTCGCATACTTTGTGACTTTATTTAATGATATGAATTGGTAAAAAAGCAGGGTGCTTCCCTATTTCATGACGTCAATCTGCGAAAATTATGTCGCCGCAAAAGTGTCAACGAGAGATTAGTCTATACTTAACATATTGAGAAAATGGTGTTGAGAAATGGACAGTAAGAAACGTGTTGACTTCTTTTTTAATTAGTAGTTTGTTAGTTTTGCGAAGTCGTCAAAACAGATGGATATATAGTCTCTAATAGCCATTTAAATGGCATTCAAAGAGGACCTTTTCGATCAATTTAGCGTAGCAAGAGAAGACGTGTGTTGACAGTGATATGCAAATTACATATGAGATATGTACTTGAAAATTACTCAAGCATGTGGTGAAATTCACATGTATTCTCAGTAAAGAGTAAGTTTATTTAAACGAGGAGAATACATTGGTCAGTGAAGTATTTACGCTTTAAAGGAGTGGTTTCCAAAGTTGATTGACCAGGGGTGAAAATTAGAAGCGGAAAGATATTTGCGGGCCGGGAGAGAAAGCGCACGCAGGGGCGCGACTCGTATGTAATCCTAATACCGGTACGTATAATTAAGATACTTGTAAAATTTAAATGTTGCGGATGCCTAAACTGTGGTAATGAAGTAACAATTGGCGGTATCTAAGACGCAAAATTAAAAACATAGAGTGTTAAAAAGCTCGGCGGGCCATAATAAATCGTTATGCGAGATGTAACTTGCCCACGGGCTGTGGTTTGGGAACCACGACTTTAAAGAAATAAACTAAGTACTGAAATCAAATAACATGTTGTCCACTGCGAAACTGTTGGTAGATAGTTGAAACTAACTTGAAACTAAACAATTCTTGCCTTTTTATTCTACGAGGTTTAAGATTTTTGCTGCACACGAACACAAACGTATTTCTTCAACGTTTCCCTTGAACTGGCAAAAATACTTTTGTGTTAGTGTGGAGCAAGACTGTTGAATAACATAGAACATAGCGCAAATTGATCAATTAGTGCAGTGATTCACAACATTTTTGTTAATTTGCCAACTCCGCCTATTTCGGAACTCTACTTTCCTCCCTTGCTATGCATGAAACAACAGTATTTGTTTAATTTTTGCTGGTGTAATGCGCTATAGTTCAGGATTGGGCACGGTTTTTTCAACACGGGCCAAATATTTTGCCTACATAAACTGGCGGGCCATGTGAGTGGGGATCAAAAAGTTTCATTTTATGAACAATATTTACAATGTAACAAGAGCAAACGCGGAAAACCCTAAGCCTCTACTAAACTTAATCGCAATCTAAACAAATTCCTTGGGCTATTTTTTGTCCAAAATATCGAAATTTGGTTTTATATCGGTTGTGCAGCACCAGGCGGGCCAGATTGAATTATCCAATGGGACGGATTTGCCCCGCGGGCCCTCGTTTGCCCATGTCAGCGCTAGTAGCAATCTCTTTTTAGTACAGTTTAGTTAGTTTATTATGTGTTTATGATAAGTATTATAGTAATATTAAATGACAAAAAATTATTAGTAATACTGCAGTTGGGAAACTTTGCACTAATGCAAAGTCGTGGAGGAAAGCTTCGTAACTAGTCTCGTGTAATCTCAACTGATAGCTGTATTTGTATTTTATTAAGATTTAAATAAAAAACATAATTTCAAGGATGGATCTTGCAACACGAAACGTTATTTTATTTGTTTCAATGATGTATATCATACAGGATGCGATAGGTAAGATGTATTACATAGTATAATGCCATTGCCGTACAAGATGGAAGATAATGGCTTCTTCAAGTGCTGGCTTGATTTACATAAACTCATGACCAATGTGTGACGCAGAAAGCAATAAATGAATAAAAATGTAGCATTTCGTGCACAATTCATGCTAGAAAACGATATTTGTTATTAATATAAACGATAAATTTTATCTACAAATATGTTGCTTTTTAATATTCCCACTAGGTATTCAATACCAATATCCATTTATAGCCACTGACAAGTAGTAAGCTATCACGATATATTATGTTATAGCCTACGATATTAAAGGAAGACTTATTTAAGTAGTGGGTTTATTATGAGCGTATCATGTCTAAATAGTTAATAGAAAACGATATTTTTCTGTTTACCTATGCGAATTGGCTTATTACTAATCCCGTTAGGTATCCCACATACATTGGCAATCAGGCTGTAATCGTAGTAAGCTGTTAAGCTTTTATTGTCTATAGCCGAAATATATGACATCCCTTTTGAAGTGATGTACACGGGGTTCAATAAAATAGTTTTTAACGTATGGCGATACACATAGATCAGAATAACTCTCTCATCTCCGTGATTTCTCTTTACAGCAATGAGGTCAATCACCAGGCAATTCAACCCGCCACCGAAAGTCGGTGACGTCATTACAATACGAGGCATCGCGTCAGCAAAGTCAGTCGCTTTCATCCGGTTACACAGCCCGGTGGGGAGCTGCGATACAGAGTACTTTCATAGACGAAGTACTGGACAGCGTGGATTGACTTGTAACCCATTGGTTCTGAAATTACTGACAAGAAAACAAAAGGTACATTTTACATATTTTCAAACATGTAAAATTTGACCTTTTTGATACTTACCTTCACTCCGAACAAGTACATACCGACATACTAGAGCGACTACATTTTTAGAGCGATATTTTTATTGCTTAACCAATTTACCACTCCCAGGAATAGTGTCAGATTTAAAGGTATAGTTATAATAACTAGAATTTGGTTTCTATTAAGTCTAAAAACCGATTAATGAACTTTAGTTGTTTATTAAATCAACAGTTCATCAGATTTTTTGCTTTTCTTTTATTTAAGTTTCCCTTATTTTAAATTTCGAGCAACGGTAGTTATGGATTTGATAAATGAAATAAATCCCTAAAGTACAAAATCTCAATTTTCAATGTAATCGCTTCTAAAGTTAAAGCAAAATGATTTCTTTCTAGATACATTATCAGAAGAAAGGGATGTTCTCGGGAAATAGAGACGTTCATATTTTTTCCAAATTACATTCAGAACTTCGGAATGGTCTCCCGTACATATTGAATATTACTGGTGCGTATGGAAGTATTCCAGTGATATGTTGTAAATATTTGGTATATGCTCGCCCTTCTTACTGGAATATATGAGTTGATTATTTGAGACTCACACTTCCTTAGTAAGTCACGTAAGTGTGCGGCCCAGTCACAGCACTCAACCCAATGTCCAGTCAAAGCCTATATATGTACGTTTAACTAACTATTTAGACTATTTTAAGAAAATGCAGAAATGTCTCTAGTTGGACATAGTAAGTAATTCAGTTCGGATATGGGTATTGAAAATGGAACTTTAATAATAGTCCAAAGGATATCTGAGTTCCCAAACTTTTTATACATTCGACACATTTAGGTTCTGCAATTAAAACATGATGCATCAGAAACAAAATTTGACTTTATCAAAATTAAATTAAAAGCTGATTTTTTTTGTTGTAATATATGGGCATTCCTCGACTTAACATTTCAATTTGACATCATTTCGGATGTTGCAATGAGCATATGATTTTGAAATTCATACTTTAAAAGGGTCAGGGTTAGGCCATAAGTTTATTTCAATTTTCCCTATTTCAGTTATATTACGAGTTTGGGGACTGTCTGTGTTAGCCAAGTGAGTATACCCCCTGCCCATAGGTTTCAGTCCCTTTACACAACTTGATGTAACGTAAACGAACAAAATTAATTACCTCCATATTGGTATACACACTTCTGGAGAGCCCTTCAGAATGCAACAATTTTTGCAATTGCCACTATTCATTGCGATAAAGACACTTTACTTAATCAAGCCTTTTATTTCAGTAACTGAAAGAGGTTATGACGTCAAGTTTAATAATGACGAAATAATCAACTTTGTGAATCCTGATACACGGAGTGTTGAAATGATAAGAGCATACTCAGGTAATTACAAAGAAATCACATTGGACAGAGGATACACTATACCATGTAAGTATTAATATTGTAATTTTGCCGCTCCAGAAGTATGTATACCATTACGGAGGTAATTGATGTTGTTCGCCTACTTTACATCAAGTTGTGTGTAAAGGGACTGAAAACAATGGGCAGGGGTATATTCACTTGGTTAACACAGACAGTCCCGAACTCGTAATAAGACTAGAATAAGGAAAATCGGGATAAAATTATGGCCTAACCCTTAACTGCTATACCTACTAGGGCAGTACCTAATTGTTAGTAAACCAGCTCTTTCAAGGTGTACGAGCCACTCGAAGTACATATCAAACATATTGCATGCTAGACAGATTATCTTTATAGGCTTAGAAGGCTTTCTAAATTTCACGAATTTCAAACACAGGGCGCATTTATTTTCAGTTATACAAATTATGACCAATTGGAAAAAAGAATCGACTTAATTTATCAACGTCAAATACCGTCAAAAACATATTTTAAAACATACGCACATTATTCAATGAGATACGTGTTCTCGTTTTTGCCCACATAAACGATCATGATGTGACTGAACGTACGATACCACCAGTCGTGCTTCCCTCCCAGCGTTTGTGTCAACAGACTCGATAATTTTATGTCAAGTTTTGGAACATAGGTAGCTAGAAATCTATATATTATGAAATACATTTATACATATATACGGCGCACTCGAACATATCTTGCGGGGCACATACTGGGAACCGCTAATCGTACCAACGATATATCAACAATTGGTATTGACAGAATATCTCGATATACGGAGTAGTCTACTAGATTATAGTGTATCACACTGCAGGTCGTTTCTCCTTGTCTACTTCAGAACCGTGAGTGTTCGCCACAAAGATGCTTAAACGAGATAAATATTGAAGTGATACGAGGTGTGGCTAAAAAGAAACGAGACTGACGTCACAGATTGCGCAACACGATTAACCATTGGTAATCAACACTTTTACAGTGTGGTGTAATATGTGTTCTTTGTTCAACAGCTTTTTTGACACAATATCGCAATTATTTTTGCTCTTTAGGAGCCATAGGTGAATGTGATTAATTGCTTGTTGAAAAAAAAATTGCCGTGCGAGATCTGATTGAGTTTTATGGCGATAGGGGGTTCAATTGCAGAATGACGATTGAGCAATGAATTAACATTAAATTTTGTGTCAAACTTGGAAAAACGGCGACTGCGACTTTGAAGCAATGTTAATTCATTGCTCAATCGTCATTCTGCAATTGAACCCCCTATCGCCAAAAAACTCAATCAGATCTCGCACGGCAATTTTTTTTTCAACAAGCAATTAATCACATTCACCTATGGCTCCTAAAGAGCAAAAATAATTGCGATATTGTGTCAAAAAAGCTGTTGAACAAAGAACACATATTACACCACACTGTAAAAGTGTTGATTACCAATGGTTAATCGTGTTGCGCAATCTGTGACGTCAGTCTCGTTTCTTTTTAGCCACACCTCGTACATAGGAACAACATAATTTCTGTCCGCGAAATAGTAATTTAGTCGCTTAGGTCAGTTAATAGTCATTCATTTTCAACACCATTACAGTGGATGGAAATACTGGGTCACTGTTCCAATGTTCAATAATTCTTTATATATGTTAATTCACAACACATAAGAATAGAAGTCCCCACGACAGGAAAATATAAAATTACAAAAGCAATGCCTTACTTGCATGAAACCTTGCGATACCTTTAATGTCCTAAATAATTCTTGCTTGTAATGCTTATGGTTTAACACGGTGGTTCCCAACCTTTCTAGAGGCTCTTAGTACTCGTGGCCCACCTTGTACATCATTCCAGTGATACCCATTGTGTTATTATAATTGGTAGATCCCATTATGTTCAAACAATTCATGTCCAACAAAATAAAAACACCCTGTGAAATAACCTCATCAAGCTATGTAATTATGGAAAACGGGGAGTTTTTTGCGACCAGCATTTTGGCCACCTCCAACTTCTCCGTGGCCCACTTGGGGACTGCGGTCCTCTGGTTAGAAACCGCTGGTCTAACAAAGTCCGTTAGCCCAATATGAAGATCGGTGGTGCGGGGTCACGCTGAAATCAAGGTTATACCGCATTAAAGAGACGAGACACAAATAGACATTAATATTACGACTTAGGATCATCGATAAATTCCCTTCACAATTTCAATTTTGTTATGAAGTCAGTTTTCAGTATTTATCAACCAGGTTTGTTGTTTTCATTCAGAAAATGTTCTAGTATTTTTCCTTCATTTATTACATATGTGAATGCCAAAATAATATCGAGTATTGATAAATTAGATTTGCAATTTTAAACAACTTTAAGACTATATGGACACCCTGTATACATAGGTGTGTGAGTATTAATAATTTTCTGGTACTTTATTAATGTACAGTTAACGTTCCAAACTGTGGTATTCGGAGTCTAAGTGCTGAAGAATCTTTGCATCAGAGAATTATGAATGGAAAAGATGCCAAACCTGGAGCTTATCCGTGGCAGGTATACGTCTGTGTTGTAACTTGAAAATTATTTATGAAAAAGAGATTCAGTGTATTTTGCATATAGAATACAATCTTCGTAGAATTTTCGGCGCCCCGGAAATATTCCTACCAAAATGACGCACAACCTGAACAATCCTATCCTGGTACACATGATATGTTTAGATTGGGCGCCATCTTGGTACGAATACTTCGGAAGCACCGAATTTTCTGTACTCCCTAAGTATGCGAACCAATATGGCGGATACCGGAACGTAGTATGTGTACTAGGTTAGGGTTAGGCGATAATTTTATTCCAATTTTCCTTATTTTAGTTTCTATTACGAGTTCAGGGACTAGACAAGTGACTCCCGTAGTATTTGTACCTGAAATTATGGCCTAACCCTAACCTGGTACACATACTACATTCCGGTGTCCGCCATCTTGGTTCACATACTTCGGGAGTACCCGATCTGATAACCATCAAGTCTTTCAAATAAGCAAAGGTTCCCATTGGGCGCCTTATTGCCTAGAGAGTTGTTTGAAGAAAAAGAAAAATCAGAAAAGGAAAAATCATACACACATTTGCAGTTCGTTAAATCACGCAAAACAGTCCAAGAACAGCCTAGCGGTTAGCGTTAGACTAAAAAATATTGAAATCGCAGATTACACGTCACTGGGTCAAATCAAATGACCCCCACTTCACCCAGGATGTAATAAACCGGAACCGGAAGGATTACGGACCAGACAAATGAAACTAACTCCTCGCATAAAGTGAGGTATTAGTGGCTGCTTCTACCGGGCCTTGTTCAGTGCCAAAAGCGTCGTATTAAAAAAATAAAATTTTAATAATGATTTAAAAATAAAATATCTCAAGTATATTCCTTTCAAAATCATATAATATATATTTTGACGATAGAGTCGAGTATTTTTCCAAATGAAACAAATTTTCGAATCGCCGTATTAACGTTGACAATTTTGATTGAACAGAGTCTAATCAAAAAGAATAACCATCAACTTACCATTTTATGCGTGTAGAAGATTCGTAAATTTCTACCTCAACTATTATTAACATAGCGTTGAACTCGTAATTGTGTAATGATTTGGATGGACAATATCATAAACAACAAGAGTGCTATGCTCAAATATATGGACACGTAGCGCTACCCAGTGGCAATAATTTTGATGACGTCATAGCGAAAAAAAGCCTTCTGGAGAAAAATTTTATCTTTAACCACTGAAAATATCAAAGCAATTGGTCCAGTATTCGAAGAGAAAAGCGATTTTTTAAAAATGGAGACGGAGACAAATAACAATAACAATAACAACAAAATTTTAAAACGATCGTTATGGCCACTAAACGTGTCCAATAAAGCTAGACAATCTCCAAAAAATCAGTCTCCCGATATGCACGTGCTTGCCTTCACTCTTCATAAAGGAGAAAGTGTCATAAGGAGATATTGCCGTTTTGGATATATCAAGCAAGAATTGTGCTATTTTCCCTCCCATATCCATATTTTTTGTTTACCCTCCCGCAAATGCCATGCGAGCCACAGATAATGATTCAGCGGGCCACATGTGGCCTGCGGGCCTGGGTTTGGACCACCTTGGTCGAACCAATGAGAATATTCATATTTTATCATGTATAAAAGAACAATCCTATCACAACTATTATAAACATAGAGTTTAAGTCGTAATTGTGTAATAAATTGGATAGATAATAGGATAAACCCTAAAGCTTAACACTCTCCAAATAATCAGTCTCCTGATATTCACCTGCTTGTCTAGAGACTTGTTCAAGGCAAATCACACACACACACAAGCGCAGCTTGTTGAAACACGCGAAACGATTCAGGGAGAATATCGGGCTTGGTTTGTATGCAATTGCAGGAATAGCTGTCCCGAACCTTCGGACACTGTCAGAGCACGTGTGGCCCCCCAGCTTCCTTTGGAAAGGGTTTACTCTTAGCGCTCCAAGGCGAAGTACTTCTCCACTACTGGGCGAGTCTCCGTGGCAATTGGTTCGCTGTAGCTTTTTTGATAGCGTACATGGGCAAGATTTCAATAATTCATAAACTAACTAAGCTACCATTTATGGTGACTGGCATTCATTACTGGATTTATAGGATTGTGTGCCTGGTTGAATATTTGAATAGTAATTTTAGTTAAAACAACAAATTTTATTCTTGATTCATCATTGGGCCATGTCTGAATCGACACTAAACTTCAATATCAATAAAAACTTATCAATTTCGAAGCGTATAGGCCGTACTCGGATTTGAAAAAAGGGAACACGTAATAAAATAAAATGATCGCAGTTCGTATAATGTATCGGCTGCTTGTTCAAGAACTTTTTCATAGCGAAAGTTGGATCGCATATTGGTTCTCTTTTTCTTTTTGGTATGAAATAAACGCGTTTGACCCATGACACGTTACCACATTTGCCGCAGTAAAACTAAAGAATATGCCACAATTTTCAAAAATCGATTTTTCTCGATCTTCTGTCATTATCTACCAGAGCCATCTTATGAACTGGGTTTGAAGCCCAGCCAAAACAGCTGTGCCTGTTTTAGTTTTAATTCCAGGCAATGCCTTGTGTCCATTTCAAGGATTGGCTATCCAGTGGTTCCGAAACCGCGTCCAGGGGCCAATTACGGCCCGAGTAACGATTTAATAAGGCCCGACAAACTTGAGAGACATGATTTAAATACTCCATGTTTTTTTGTGTTCTAGATACCGCCAATGTTACGCTATTATCACAGTGTAAGCACGTTTATAATATTAATAATTGAGTATTAATTATACGTACCGTTGCCGGTATTGGCCCATTGCGTGCGCCCCTGGCCCGCGGATACCCTTCTTCTAATTTTGGCCCGCGGTCAATGGACGTTGGGAACCACTAATCTGAAATTTACAATAATGCGATATTCTCAAAACCTTAAAAAGTGACATAAGCTAATTTTTTTTTGCTCCGGCGACCTATAATCGTTGATAAGTCGATTATTGATAAAATATATACAGAGTACATATACACTTTTAGTTTTGATTTCCAGGTACTCATCAAAAAGCTTTCATTTCTTCAGAAGATATTAACCTAATGACCCCTGGTGTTCCTGGGTCATTTTGACACCCCTCTATAATTTTTTTAATATTTTACCAACCCAAAATGCCAAAGACATCATTAATGCGTCCCTAAAAAGCTTATTTTCGTCGCTTTCCACTAAAATGCGCCCACATTAGGTAGCGTAAATGCGTCCGACCATATGCCAGTAAGAAGAGAGAAATTTCAAAAAATTTCGAGAAAAAGTTTCTCACTTTTAACGCTGTGGTCAACACGTGATTGATATACGAGAGTAAGAGTTTTCCTTTGGACGAGTTTTACGTCACCTTCAAAATAAAACAAAAGTGGGTTTTGTAAGTGAAGTGATATTCGTTTTATCGAAGAGCATTTGATCGCGTGCTGTCTGGTATCTTTGTTTGTTTATTATGAGCCGGAGAACGTTGCTCGCGCGTTCAAAATACTTCGTTTTCAACTAACAATTTAAGTATTGTTTGCATTTTTCAACAACCCACAGAATGACAAGGAGATCAATCCAAGAAATTAGGTGCAAAATTGCTATTTGCAATGTTTGTATGCAGACAATACCTGCATTTTACTACTTATCCATACTTTATTTCTTGAAAAAATGAAAGATCTATAATGAGTACCTGAAAAGCAAATCAATATTAAAAGTGTATACTTACTTTTGAGACACCATGTCTAATGACTCAAACGCCCTGTTATTTCAGGTGTCAATAAGAAACAAGAACCTTGTCTCAAGTTCACAATGCTATCATTTTTGTGGGGGAACACTGATTAGTAGTTGTTGGGTTGTCACTGCTGCTCATTGCGTGATGACCCTTAGGTAAGTGCCTTTTACGTCGCGAAATTTTGTGGTTATCGGTTGCAGAATTGATAATTGACTGATTCGAGACCGAATTATTAAAAGATATGTTTTAGAGATTTTGAACCAGCCTGGCGGTGCGATAGCGCAGCGATTAAAACGTTGAACCCGACTTCGTTGACGTTGCAGATAACACATCCCGGGCCCCCTTGACCTTTCACCTTACCCAGGATGTAATAAATTGGGTTCCAATACTTCCATATCGTGAGATATCAGTGGCTGCTTATATGAAGCCTTGTTCAGAGCGAAAGGTGTAAAAAAATACGTAACTCAAAAGGGTCAAAGGTCGGAAAGATGCAAGAATCCCTTGGGTTTGCATTTTGTACACTCAACAGGTGGAATACTCATATGAGATATTGTATTCTGTGTCTACCAGAAAAAAGTTTCCAAACACCTAAAGTAACCAACCGACGGGGAAAATGGGATTTGCTTGACACGAAAAAATTACCCCTACTTACGAAAGCGCCCAGATACGAAATTTTCAAGTTACGAAAATAATTTCGTACCGCCCGTAGTTTTCATTCGTTATTTCTCTGTTCTTTCTTCTTATCATGTGTACGTTTTCTATTTTAATGCAGTAATCTATTACTAACATGTATTTGTTTCGGATTACTGTTTAAAATTTATACAACTTTATGTCCAAGTTTTGTGGGGGCTCAGAACGTATTAGAACATTCAGGCAAAATGCGTCCCTCCTTATACGGAACGGTTTTCTAAACAAATTACATTTGTAAGTAGAGGTTCTACTTTATATTGCTTACAGATTACAATTGTATTTACAACATGCCCGAAATACAATTACTAAGTAATCAGCTTTTAATATAAAAATTGCGATTGTGTTTGATTTCTAAGTCATTGAATATATTTGTTCTCCAGTAAATACAAAGAAAATTACGAGATACTCGTCGGTGATTATTATAATGGAGACGCTCCTGCTTTTGGGAATCTGGAAGATGAACAGGTGATTTGAACTTACGAAATAAAAAGAAGTCCGAAAGATGTTTAGCATATACACGCCTTCTTGAGCGCCTAAATATGACCTGCGAGTCCAACCCTTACCTGACCTGACATACAACACAAGGTATAAGGATTTAAGGGAAATAATCCAATTCGTTTTTAATTACGCAGTAACTGTAGTTGGATGAAATTGACAATCCAGCGAACACCGTTTACGCCAATTTATTCTTAAAAATGTTCTGCTTTTAGTATATTTCCCGTTTCATACTACTGGTATATTTTACAGACTTTTGATATAGAAGCAGTATACGTTCATTCAGAATTCAAATATGATCATGTATGGAGGAACGATATATCTTTGATAAAACTCAAATCAAATAATGGACAATGTGCTGTGTTCAGGTATTTACCAAAACTCTATTTACTAACAAGCCGCATAGATATTAATACAGTGTCTTCGAGACTATAATACATTTTTATTGGTATTACCGACGCAAATTCTGAGTTCCTTGGATATATGAGGGCTTGGAATTTGAACTTGAATTTTCAGCGTGAAGGGAGGCCGTCGGTAATTTATTAATATTTTTAGTTTTCGCAAAGTCCTTTGGGACCAAAATGTTTCATTCAATTTTTTTTATATTTCACCTCAATATATGGTCGGACTTTTGATTGCGTATGGTAGCATTCACGTCACGCTTGACCACATATCTATCTTTTCTGCAAACTCGATGCTTAGCTAAAGCCTCACCGGCGGCACGGGGCTACCTTCCTATCCATATATTTGAGTATTTCTTTCGTGTTTTCAGCAAGTACGTTATCCCGGCCTGTTTACCAGAACCCACTGATGAAGCGTTTCCAACGAACACTCATTGTCATATAACAGGATGGGGTGCACAGAATTATACAGATAGAGATAGTAAGTTATCTTATATAGAGTGTACTATAGGGTATTGTGTACTGAACTGCAAGTCCTTTCTCCTTGCTTACTTTCTACTTTGGATCCGTATGTGTCAGTTACCACAAAGATGCTTGAACGAGATAGTATTATAAAGATAAATCGGAATATCATAATTTCTTTTCACGAAATAGTGGGTTTATTAATATTATTTTTATTATATATTTGTATTTTCGTTTTCAGAGTAGTTTTGCTCTGGAATCTATTATACATTATATGAGTTGTATTTAAAATTTCTCTCATAGAGAAATCTTGGTTCAAAATTATGGTCTTGGTTCAAAATTATATTAATGATGTTTTATTGTAGGATGGTCCAAACCCAGGCCCACATGAAATCCGCAGCGTCATAATTTATGGCGTGATCCAAAAATCGTATTTGATATTGTTTCGTCATAAAATTACTCATAAATTTTTTTTGACATACTGTTACATCACTAATGTCACTGAATTGACATTAGTGTTATGGCTAGCTGAGGCAACTAGCGAAGTTAAATGATAGTGTTTGTTTTGTATTGCACTGTTTACCCATTCTTAACACTATTGTGACCCGCGAACAATGCAAATATTAGTTTGTGGCCCTCGGAGCCGACAACCTTGGATCACCCTGATTTATTGCTTTTCACCCATCCATCGTTTGGGAATGTGGGCGTAGTGTTTCTTTCAAGTCATTCAATCTTCAGTACAATCACAAATAGTGTAGCTAGTCATTATTTCATACCAGCTGTTGGTAAACCTGCATCTTTTTAAGAATGAAGAACAGGTTTGATTATTTCGCTTAATTTGTTCTGTTACGTGCATTTCCAAGGGTGACAATTCTAACTAACCGCTAGAGGTCGCACCTCAACCCGGAACTAGTAAGGATAGGTATGCGTCATGTAAAGCTAGCTATATATGTAGATCTATGTATATGAAGTGCGCGGTAAGATATTGCATACACATTCCAAAAATTGACAAAAACTTACAAGGCATACACAAGCGTCTCAACTCGGTATAATAAACTTCAATTCATTCCAGGATGTCATGATCACCCACCAATACTTCAATACGGACTGGTGAGACTCAGAGACTACACCGAATGCAGTTTGCTACATGGAAATGTACCTGACACTGATGAAAAATATATTTCTGATGGAATGCTGTGCGCAGGGGTAAGTTTATCTTCTTGAAATTCTCATCAGGGATTACCAGTATCTCATATTATATTAACGCTTAACGCTAGTAATGCGAGGAAAATACAGACAGTGTGGTCTCAAACTAGCTACGGATCCGATTTCTTTAACTACGAGTTATTTAAAAATAGAACCCAGCATTGTCAACTATTTGTCTCCTAATTATTCTAAGATGAAAAATCACAGACTTCGTCATTGGTAAAACTTGATATAAATTTAATACAGTCACAAAAGCTTTTTTTTTTTTCAATTTACATTCACGTGGAATAGCCTACATAACATAAATACCATTAAATAAGCTACAATAAAGTCAATTAATTGATAAATTTCTCATCTTAGAACAAAGGCGTTGATACTTGCCAAGGTGACAGCGGTGGACCGCTAGTCTGTCAGAAGAAATCAAACAAACAACCGTTTGTATTGACGGGCGTTACGAGTTGGGGTCTTGGATGTGGCGATCTCGTGAAGCCTGGAGTCTACACAAATATTTCAAAATATATAGACTGGATAATAGATGCGAGATACGGCGTATTTTAATTGATTAATGCTGACATGGGAAGCCCACGGCCCATCTGAAGCTGCCACAACCAAACTAAAATCAAAATTTGATGTTTTAGCTAAACAATAACTAAATGAATTTTTGGAGATTGCGATTAAATTTAGTTTTGGCACGAGGCCTACCACTGCGAATATTGTTGATAAAATGTAAATTTTTGAGTCACACTTACATGGGCCGCCAGTCTAGGTGGGCAAAATTTTTGCCCCTGGTCCAAAAACGTTGCTCATCTCTGGTTTAATTTAAAACGTGGCTAGTTTTTAGCATTGTAAATGGGAGTGTCAATGCTGCTGTTTAAGGAACACAAATTCTCTTTATTCTTCAACCACAGGACCGCACCCTTTCAAATTGCTTGCATATTAAGATTTGAATATATTCTATGTCTTCTATATATATATATATATATATTAATATGATTTCTCCGATTCTTGATGCCCATTTAAATTAACCCAAATCTTGGCAACTTCAAAGTTACGCCGTCATAGAGATGATTAATTTTGCTGCGATCCTTCTCAGCAATACGAGAACACCGGTAACATTATCTTTCGTGTTATATATCTCTAGTTCCATATTGTTTTGTAATAGGAATTAAAAGTAGATTGCCGTATTAAATGTTTCTTAATAACCATACTTTAACTTTTATTTTTACATTTTATAAGTGCGCCTTGTTGGTAAAATGGGGCAAGGAGGGAATGTATTAGAATAGGTTGGGGACCACTGGTGTAATGTAATAGGTATACCACATTGGGTCCTATTTAAAATTAAGGAATTTTCTGTATATTGGACTCTGCTTGACTTGAACATTGTTGATCATAAATAGGAGACACCTTCAATAAACTGCTAATGGTTCATGGGAAATGTCATAGGTAGCTGATTTTGTAATGATAATGAGTTGAAATACTCCAATTCAGCATTTACAGGTACATACAACACCAAAAAAAGCTGTATAATTACACGAGTTCTGAATATTCTAGTGGTTTCGTGACCACAATAAAAATTGAAGCCCGTGATAGCCCTGAAGGCCGCCCAGAAACTAGATGGTCGCTTGTCACTTTTTTAACAGATGAGTCTGCTGGATTTGAGCAATAATAATAAAATAAATGAAATGCGTAACATACAATCGTTATGATTTTTGGTAACAAGGTTCAAATATTAAAAAACAACACCAGCTTGTATGCATACGCAATGAATTTAATCTGAAATAAATAAATAAAAAGTGTTGGGCGGCATATCATTCAATTCGTTTATTGATTCAGACCCTTAAGGATTATATAGGAAACAAATACAAATAGGCAGGGTAAGTATGACAGTACCATAAATATAGTAATATTAAATGAAACGAGAATATCGGTCGGTGACCGAAGACTTATCGATCGAAACTGCGGTTCCGATCCATGACTCTATAGCCTGGGTTACCAAACTACGGCCCGCGAGCCGGATCCGGCCCGCAGCGTCATTTTATCCGGTCCGCAATAACACGCAAAAGTGGCTAAATTTTTTTCAAAAAGAGATTTTCAGTCGTGGTTGTAAACAATACTTCGTTTTTGCGACTTTGAATGCTATTCGTTAGTTTTTGGTTGTGTTTCGGAAATTTAAGTATGAATCAAATATGTCAATTATCATTTGCCTCCTTAGGAGTTGTAGTTTTAACAGTAGTAATGAAAAATTAGTCTAGAAATAGCTGTGAAAAAATAGGCTGAAATTCTCTATCGGTACGCAACGTTTTCTGCGAAAGATGCACTTGTACACTCGTGGCGCGTGCTTTCTACGAAACAGTTTACGTTTCTTGTGTTAAAATAAACGTCCAATGTTCATTTTGCGCTAACAGTACTGTAATTCCTCGTGTACTGCTCCATTTTCACAAGTCACACTAACTTTCGTACTGTCTAAAAGCGGATATTCATGTATGTTTCCAAAAATTGAAGTTCATCCGATTTAAATAAAAACTGCGCCAGTGGATAGATCTGAGTGAAAATAAAATACAATACCAAGTTTATAAAAAACGGTCAAGAAATAACGGAGATATCGGAATTTTAGTACCGCCCGACACACTTTTTTTCATAATAATTGTATTACTTTTTTGATAAGAACTCTAATAAATATGAAAAAAGAATACATATCAATCACTAATCTTTCCTTTTGCGTCCCATCTATGAAATATTGAGATTATTTTGGCAACGGTCATTGACACCGCCGAAAGATTGTCTCAAATGAACGCTGAAGTGCATGATAGTTTGACAGTGGTCCATTGTGGGTAATAATTGATTGTACAAACTTCCTAATAATTGGTAAGTATCAAGTTAGGAAAGAAATGCACACGCCCATATAAATTTTATTGGTGTCCATAGGAAAATATCACTGATTTGCACTACGTATAACATAATTATTTTTCATGTTGTTCTTGTTGTTTTAATTACTAGAACAATTGCTTCGCCATTTCAGTAGATAAAGAACCGTATACTGACAAAGGTACTTCTTGTGGGCGCGGTGATACAGTTTGCATATTCTGGCCCTACCTTATCATGTCATCCAAAAATTATTTCACTGCGACGTCACAATCATGATTCAATACGAGAAAGATAGTTTGCATTTAGTGAGTTCGTTGTCGAAGGCTCAATTACGGGCGATCGTCGTAATTTGCACTACGTATAACTGGAGCGTAATTTTTCAAAGCGTCGAATGTGGCGAAATTTGTGCGCTGATGAAAATAATTAAATCCAGATAGAAGTTGTTTGTTTTATCTAAATTATGTCAAAATTTCATGGAATTCCAAACTACAGCAGGCAGTCCGTATTCGTTTTTATGAGCGGAATTCCATTCCAACACGGCGTAACGGTACTTAGCAAAGTGATGCGTACATTTTTGGCACAAAAAAGCGGATTTTGTAACATTCATAATTCGTGACAGCAACGTTTTGATAACAGCTAAACTCAGGATAGTTGTCTAGATATAGAAATCTTGTATATTTGTTTTCCTAGGATGTTCTCGATCTATATTCTGCGATATAGATTGAATTTAATATTCGAGTCTTCAGAAATGTAAAATATATATTATTGTTGAATAAATTGAATGGATTTCCCAACTTTTGTGAATTTAATGTATTGCATTGACAAAAATATTCATCCGGCCCGTTTCAATACAGTTTGAGTCATACCCGGCCAGCGGTCAAAAAAGTTTGGTGACCCCTGCTCTATAGTGACACCGCGTGTCCCATCACTAGTTAATTATTAACTCGCTAGTTATACGACATAATTCATCCAAAATCAATAGGCTTCTCAACCACGCCTTCGTGAGATATCGAGTGCATCTAACAGACAAACAAACAAATACCTATCAACATACTTACCTTACCTTGAAGATCGATAAGTAATAAAGAATAAGACTTTGTGTACCAATTAATTCAATCCATTTGGTATATTGTGTCAGACGCTCTAATACCCACGTCAGGACTTTATAAAAACACAAATGAGAATAGGTAACGCACGTATGTTAGGTACATTAAAATAAGTAATATCAAACGTTTAATTCAATCCAACCATTTATGACTTCAGACCCCTAGGACTAGGATAAAAACACAAATAAAAACATGTATCATATGGAATACAGTAATATCAGATTACAATAGAGCTTGTGAGTACATGTTTCAATTCAAAAACGGTATGTATTTAATGAATACGGCCGAGATAGTGTTTATCAGAATGATACAAAGGAAGATCTATTCATTTGCTCAGTCTCGACGGGCATTTGTACTAGTGTAAAATCGTTTTAAAGGGCAGTAAATTCAATCAATTAATTCAGATATAAGGTTCACCAGCATATTCCAGTTGTAAGGTAGCTACCGGCCATCACATTTTATTCCGTTGGCCAAATAGTTAGTACGCTTTCATCGTACTATATTTCTAAACCCGAAGATTTAAAGGTCTCAGTACAGACCAATTTCGTACCAGTTTCACCTGAAGGTTACTCCAGTAGTATGTGTACCAGGTTAGGTTTAGACGAAAATTAAATTCCTATATTCCCTATTTTAGTTTTATTACGAGTTTGGGGACAATGTTAGCCAAGAAATATACCCAATGCCCATATGTTTCAGTCATTTTATACAACTTGGTGTAAAAGCAGGCGAACGAAATTACTTACCTCCATATCGATGATACACATACTTAAAGCGTCGAATTTTGTACTTTGCGATATGCTTTCTCCATATACAACGAACAGTGAAGCCAGACGACAATGAATGAAACGTGGAAGTTTGAACTAATTGTAATCTGAATTTGTCAAGCACCCTCAATATGTATCCGTTTTATTGGATCATAATCAAATTTTAAATTACTTTATGCAGATAAAATTACGTCTATAATAACAAAATGAGTTGCGGAAATGCAAGCAAACTCACAACTTTTGTCTGTTGGATAAAAGCAAATATGTTTCTTCTTTCGCCGTTATTTGTGATTGCGGATTTTGTGACTGACTGGATGACATTCGCGAGATATTGCACAGAACAATCATTTATAATCATTGTTCTGTCGGGAATCTCGTTACTTTTTGGAGGAGTTTGCGGTGCTTGGTTTATCACAGGTTTCAAAAGATATATTTATGGCCTTGAAGACGAGAAAAGCGTTACAATTGCGTTGCTTTGCGAGATTGCAGTCGAGTCTTTCCCTCAACTTTGTATAAACTTGTACTTGATGACTAATTGTTCTAATTTGCATCTGATCAGTTACATTTCTGCAGCCATTTCATTTGTTGTAATTTGCAAAGAAATCATAGCATTCCAAATTTCAGGCGAATACGATTCTCAGAAATGTAGACACAAGAACATAGACACAATATTCCTAATTACTTTACAAATTTTTGTAATTACTACTCGATTGTACGTACTTGTTTACGTTGTTCGGAAGTTAAAATGGTTTTCTATTTGTTACATATTTTGGAACATCATTATTCAAGTTCCGTGTATTATTATATCCAATAAGGATTTCCATAACTCTATAAGTGACGTCGTTTTGTTCTCATTGCTTTCTATGTTGACTTGGTTGAGTAATTTTGATTATACCCCAGGAATGAATTGGTTTATTTTTCTTTCCACAATAGGAAACTCTCTTTTTGCTTATTTAGCTTACGAGCTTTACCCAGAAATTGAGTTTTGTCTTTACAGTCACGAAGTATGGGTTAATTTTGGGCTAAATCAAATGATTTTAATAATTTTCATGTTGCATTTATGTATAAAGTTTTGCTTCCCTCTCAAAAGAGAGAGGAATAAACCAAAACAGCAGAATTCTGAAATAGTCCTGAAAGTAGAAAGTGACGAAAAAGATTCCGACTATAAGAGTACAGAAGAATAAACGTAATATTGTCGTGTCCATTAACATTTGGCTTCAAAATGAGAGACGACATAAAAGGGGGGGGGGGGGGGGGCGAAAAAGCAATTGAGTGTAATAGTACTGAAGTACAGTATGAGGGCATTCTACTTTCTTATGTAAAATGACGTCAAATATAATGATTACGTTTTGTGCTGTAGTGTTCAAAATTTTCTCTTCATTTCCATGCTACATTTATTCCTATTGTTTTACAAATAAAAATTAGCAACAAAATGTTGATATTTCAAAGAACGGTGATGCTGATCAGCTTTTTTATTCTTCAACTAGATATATCGCTTATATTTTTGTATCAATTATTAACAAAAGTCATCTTTTTATGATTATGTTTATTGTACTATATGAAATGATTTTTTAATTTGTTTAACTGGCATTTCTATTGATCGTAGAACAATAAAATCAGTGCAACAATAAAAAATGCATTTGTAATCGTGCTTAAATAAAAATCGAAGAATAGTAGTCATCAGTACTTTAAGTTTAAGTCAAAAAACGTGCCAATTGTTAGATATATACCGTACGATGACGTCATAAACCAGTTGAATGCAATTGTGAAACTATTTTATCAAAATTAGAATTTATCAATATATCAAAGGCATTTCTAAAATGACACATTACCATTAAAATGACACTTTGTGAGTACAAAAGCCAGATAGCGAGTTCTGCATGTCAATAAAAAATATCGATCTCAAGATCGACACGAAAAAACAACAAATTTAATTTTTAAAGTAGATCCAAGGT